GGGATACCCCGAAAAGGAAGGGAGAAAGAAGCAGTTTCGTCTAGGATGGTCTATTTTGGATAATAATCCAACTTCTTGAAGAGCCAAGGTTTTGATTCATCCGGGATGGTCCCTTCAGGAGGACGATCCAAGTTCCCGATGACGTGGGAGAGAAACTGGGCTCCGAATCCCGTAAGATAGGGTCTTCAGGGTCATGATCTACGTTCCCGAAGGCAAAAAACGGGATTCCGAGGCGCCGTTAGAGAATGGAGTTTCCCCAGAACCGAATAATGGCGAGCAGAAAAAGAGAGCGCACGAAACGGGACGCTGCTCCGGTTTGCCGGGAGCCTAGAAGAGAGTCGCATCGAAATTCCACGTCGCGACTTTCACACCTGGTGGGAGACGTCGCATCGCGACCAGAGGTCTCCATAGAGCGTGGAGAAATCGGGGGCCGTTTAACGCTCGTTGACGTTAAAGTCGTCGCCGACGTTAATAATCCCCGTCGTTATTCCGTTCCGCAGACGAGACGAGCTCCTCGTTTCGCCCGCTAATCGATCCTCTCGCTTTCGGCGAGAGAAATCTCGACTCTCACTCTTGCCGGTGGGTTTTCAGATTGCCATCTTCAGAGACACTGCCAATGTCCTGCGGAAGTTGGAGCTGATTAGAAAGGAGTTAGAGCCATAACTTGGCCAGGGGGAGCAAGGAGAAGAGGATCGGTGACGGCATCAACGCCACCAGGTCCTGGTCCAGGTCCTGGAGGGCAAATCCCAGAGGTGCATCCCGAATGGTCCCATCAGCAGTAACCGCGAGATATTCGGCCGCGTTGAAAGTGCGAAATTGGACGTTTCAGGGCTTATCGGGTTTCCGGATTACCTGGACGACCTCCAATCATGGTCTCGTCCCGGAGTACAAGCGCCCGGGTCTGCAACAAAGATTGACTATCCGGTGGAATTTTTTGAATCCCAGCCGGAAGCGATCCCCCGGGAGCTGGGCAGGACGGCAAAATGCAATTGGTAGGATTCGGTCAAATTAGCAGTTAACAAATTAACACCGGCATCGCCGACATCGCCTACATCCTCTGGCGCTCTCCACCAATGGACCGGCGCTGCTCTTCTGCGCTTCCCGATTGAAATACGGGATTCGCCCGGTGGGTATTGCCGATTGGCTACTTCCCATGGCAAACCTATTGATTATCCGGGCGCATTCCTACCGCTCTGTCCATTTGCAATTTGATTAATTATAATTGCGCCAGCGAAACTCTCCTACGTGCATCCGCAGGGCCCGCTGGCCCGACCAGCGGCTTTTTCCGGGTTGCTGGGTCTTCCCGAGGTTCTGATAACTCGGGTCGATGGAACTCGATTGGATGGATTGGAACGAGGTGTCGTCGAGTCCCGATTTCGGAGGGACCCTTGATGAGCAGCTAATCACCTGATCTCCTGATCGCGGGGACATCGATTTTGCCGTGGTGGTTTCCCTAGGTAAGGGGGTGGTTATGTCAAGTTATGGTACGTTCGGGGGCGTTTTAATTTCTTTCCCGGCTCTGACCCGAGACTCAGGGTCCAATCGGGCTCGAGGTTAAGCCTGCCGGGGATCCCTCGGGAATGGAAACGCCACTTAATGCGTCGACCGGGACGACGCCGGTCGTTAGGGCGCACGGTATCATTCGCGGATCTTGCCTCGGCTAAGTAATTAATGGCTATGGAGGTCGCATCGAGATATTAGGAGGTATACAGTGGTTCGTGTTTCACAATAACCGGGTGGCCGCCCGGCTGGACCGGATCGAGGCCGGCATTAAAAGACCGACGCAGCGCCGAGACGCGTCGTGGCCGTTCCTCCAACAGGAAACTGCGGAATCCACTTAGCTCACCATAATCAAATTTCAAGTCACGTATAGTCCAAAAGCGACGACAATCCCTAGAGACACTTCCGGTTGCGGTGAGATGGTCGGAACACTTCTTGTCAATGTTTGGAACACTTCCCATCGGTGCGACCCGATCAGCTGATCAACTGATCAGCGCACGTTCGAACCCAATTAACTCGTTCTCCGCCCCTCTGCGTGCATTTTCGCCAGGGGAGTTTCTCTCTGAAATTCGGCGAAGAGGGCAGTCCAGTGGTTGATGTACCTCCCCAACTAGGAATTGTGGCTCGCAGGGGCAGTCCAGTGAGACTATAGTCCAGTGGTTGGGATGATCCCGGATGATCCGATTCGAAATCGATGAGCGTTTCGAAATGGTCCTCGAATATTAATACTTGCGACATTCTAAGTCCTCCTGGAGCTACGGAAAGCGATGTCGAAACAACCAATTCCTTAGTGAGCACTTCTAGGTGAGACGCGACCCGAACAGCTGATCAGCTTATCAGCTGATTGGTCGTGCATATTCCAACTCTATTATCTCGTTTCCCACTCCTCTGCCTGACTTCTCGTCAGAAGAGTTCCGCTCCGAAATTCGACGAAGAGTGCAATCCTGTGGTCGGTGTACCTTTCCAACCAGGAATTGCGGCACAATCGACTGGCGGCGCATCCCGTGGGAGTTCATTCGATCGTTAGGGGTGATCCGGGACGATCCGAATCGGAATCAACTGGCGTCTCGAAATGGTCCGCGGCTATTAGTACTCGATACTCTCGCCGTTAATTAGTGGCTCGTAGCCGGCGGAAATAGTTGCAGGGTGGAGGCCACCTCATGGGTACCTCTCCATACAGTCATTACCGCGGTCGTTACGCGCTCCCCCCGATGCCGTAAAGGTGGCGAAACTGGTCGAAACGACATTTGACCCACTTCACGTCGCTTCGTTTCGAAATTCACCGGGTGATCCACTTAACCCCCGTTACGGCGCGTTGTTACCGCTTAATGACGTAACGCGTAGAACTCCACCCGGGACGAAGGGGGCATCGACGGGGTACGTGACGACGACGCCGGGGACGTCAACGACTCCGGCGGAGGGGACGAATTTCATTATCCCCCGGACACGTACCGTAAAAGGGGCGCGATTTTACCCCTCGGCCCTCTCGACGGTTCGATTGTAACATCGAATCTCGTTAATAACTCCGCCAAATTGGATCCGGGAATTTATGCATGGTGTATGCCGCCCCATGATGGATCCCAATCCCGGCTAATAACGCGAATTATTCACCCCCAGGGCGGGGGTGCGCCTCCGCGCATTTATTTGTACACCGCGGGGTATCTAAATGTGCTTAAAACGCTAGAATCATTAATTCGATGCTGGACGTTTTTCAAGTGACAAAATTGACAGGCCTTGTTGGCTAACCGGGTTCTATGGTTCACCATGCGTTCGGTTCAATGGATATCGATATCGGATGGATCATACTTAAAACACTAGAATCGTTAATTCGATGCTAGGCATTTTTCAAGTGACGACAAAATTGACAGGTCTTGGCTAACCGCGCTCTATGGTTCATCATGCGTTCGATGGATATCGATATCGGATGGATCGTGCTTAAAACGCTGAAATCGTTAATTCGATACTGGGCATTTTTTAAATGACGACAAAATTGACCGATCTTGTTGGCAAACCAGGTTCCATGGTTCACCATGCGTTCTCTTCGATGAATTTCGATATCGGATGGATCGTGCTTGAAACGCTGAAATTGTTAATTCGATGTTGGGCGTTTTTCAAGTGACGACAAAATTGACAGGTCTTGTTGGCTAACCGGGCTCTATGGTTCACCATGCGTTCTCTTCGATGGATTTCGATATCGGATGGATCGCGCTTAAAACGCTGGAATCGTTAATTCGATGCTGGGCATTTTTCAAGTGACAACAAAATTGACAGGTCTTGTTGGCTAACCGAGCTCTATGGTTCACCATGCGTTCGGTTCGATGGATATCGATATCGGATGGATCATACTTTAAACACTAGAATCGTTAATTCGATGCTGGGCATTTTTGAAATGACGACAAAATTGACCAATTTTGTTGGCTAACCAGGCTCTATGGTTCACCATGCGTTCTGTTCGACGGATTTCGATATCGGATGGATCGTGCTTAAAACGCTGAAATCGTTAATTCGATGCTGGGCATTTTTCCAGTGACGCCAAAATTGACAGGTGTTGTTGGCTAACCGAGCTCTATGGTTCACCATGCGTTCGGTTCGATGGATATACGAGCCGTGGGTTGCAGGGACTCTTAAACGGCGGGGGCAAAGACCGGGCATTAACGTCCGTTTGAGGACGTTAAAATACGGAGTAAAAGAGGCGATGTCGTCGTTAAAGGGTGATCTCCCGTCTATCACTGGCCTTGCTCTCGTTTTTCGTTTTCCACGCGCCTTGGGGGGCGCGGCGTTCCGTCGTTAGCGCGTTTAACGAGAGACACCCGGTATATTCCCGGGATGTCACCGATCCTCGACTAACGATCCTGGCCGGAGCTTTATATCCTTTATATCTGGCCGACGGGCGAGGGCGATCCTCCGAAAACTAAAGAAAAGAAATCCCGGCCTCGCTTGCCCGGCTCTTTGATTATTTATTCCCCGGGGATAAATAACGCGGACAGTTAGCCCCGAGTTATATCGCGAGCTTTATTTATTCATTCCCTGATCATGAAATTAATGCGTCCTGGGACAGAGGACGGATGCGTCGCCCTGGACCGGATTAGGCGGCTCGACGTGGGACAAAGTGGCCGGATAAATTTCCCGAAATTAATTCCGACCGTTTCCAGGGAGGGTAGATTCGCATTTCCTCGTCTCGTCGTAAAGATCCTTTATTAGTAATGATATTTACAACTCTCGTCGCGGTAAAATACTGTTGACGAACAGCACGAGGAGCTTTGGTAGGTGACGAAGGAGTCCGCTCGGCCTGCCTGCCACTCGGACGCAATCGCATTTTTTTGTGAGGCAATTCATCCAGAGATTCATCCGTAAAAATTGAAAGCGACGGCTTTTAGCATTAATTAAGTGACAGTAACGTTCTAACGCGATTCTAATGTAAGATTCTCGGTGAAAGAAAAATTGTAACGCTCTGGTATGCAAAAATCTCTGTAGAACAAGAAAATGAGGTAAAATGTAAGAGGTGCGGCAAATTTGAGAGTATAGCGGATTTGGGGCCGAGGAATCGGTAACTGGGATGTTGCGGTGATTCGGTCGTATAGGTAATTAGTGGACGAAGGCATTTCTCGTAATTAGCGGAAAAGCAAAGAGCCCGTCACCGGTCCGGCGCCTTTTGTCCAGCGACAAGGGCGCTTTGGCAGGGTCAGATGCCGGACACTAATTACTCGAGCCGTCGCGCGTACATCTATTGCTCGCCCCATTAATGCGAGTGCGTTCGGGGTGCAATCGCAGCCTCGCATAAGATATGTAGGACACTCGGTCGTATACAGGTACAAAGCGATTGATTAATGCGCTCGCGCGCTGCCGCTGACTCGCCGCGCCGCGGACGTCATTGGTATCCTTCGTGGGCCGGAAACGCGGCCGCGTATTCCTGCAGGACGTGCTCCTCCTGGTCACCCAGGTCCTGAGCCTGTCGGGGGTGGCCTTGACCCCCGTATACGCCCCCGGAGTGGTCGTTGTGCCCGGAAGTGTGCACCACCGCGTGGAACCCGTCCTTGTCCGCCCGGTAACTGACCACCCTCACTGCGCCTCCTGGCTCCTTCACGCTGTACTCACCGGACACGCTGCTTCCTGGAACGATTCATTTCTAGGATCAAGGGTGTTTGAGTTGGTATTGAGTTTTGGGGTGTCAGGTTCATTGGCATCAGACTTAGTCACATGATATCAACTGGTTAACGAGTACCGGATAACATTGGGTTAACGAGTACCGGATAACATTGGGTTAACGAGTACCGGATTGGTGCCGGATTTAATGATACCACGTCGATTGGTATCATATCAATTGGTACCGGATTGACTGATCGCGGATCGTCTGGTACCAGCTGTAGCGACACCGCGTCGATTATTCCCATAACTATTCGAGATCGGTACCGGGTTACCCGCGTCCATGGACTCTCTTCTGGGGAATCGATCGCAACACTCTTCCATGGCACGGTGCCCTGGGAACTTTTTCTCATTTCCCCGTGGTAACCTCAGAAAGTTCCCCGCCGATCCCGCGAAGCTAATCGAGCGCGTCGATTGTCTCCTCGGCGAGGCTCCTCTTCGTTGCTTCTCGCGATTATCCACACCCGGGGTGAGGAAATTACCCGAATTACTTTCCCCCTGGTTAAGGTCTTTTCTATCCCCGCTAAGAGTCAGCTAAAGCGCCCTCGATTAACCTCCCAACCTTGTCGACCTCCTCCTCCAACCGGCCGACCACACGACCCAGTCGAACCCACTTCGACCCCGATTCCGAAAGCCAAAGGGTATCCTTAGGTAGACCTCGGATTCAAAATCGATTCCTCGATCGATCGCTCACCGTCTCGCGATTCCTTCTGGCTGTGGAAGTCCCCCGAGTGGTGGTCCTCCACCCCGTAGGAGAACTCGTACTTGGGATGTGCCACGTAGTCCACCGTGTATCCATGGTCCTCATGGTCATGGCCGTACAGGTGATTGTGCTCGCCGTGGGGGACCACGTAGGGGACCTTCACCTCGAACTCGGGACCTTCCACGGGCCCGTGAAAGTGCATGTAGGAGGAGGCGAAACTGACGTGAGGGTCTCGGAGGTGTCCACCATCCAGAGGGATGATCCCGGCTGCTGCCCACCTGCTCAGCCCCATCATCGCCGTCAGGGTCGTCAACTAAAAAACCATAGACACCCCTCCTTGAGACATCTCAAAGTCCCTTGGAAACCCCCTTTGATAAGCAACGCTCGAAAATTGAAAAAGAATTCTTTTTGGACTCGTCACGGTGGAATTCACGGTGCAGCTCTCCACGCTTTGGCGTCGCCACTATGTTTTTTTTTCCAATTTCTTAACTCGCTTAGGCGTTTTCCTTCTTTTTCATCTTTCTTCGGGGAATCTTTTTCTCTTTTTTCTTTTCGTTTTTTTCGCGCACTGTGCGGTGATACCCCGCGGCTCTACCTTGAGACTCATCTCTTCCACTGGGGTATTAAGGCGGCCAGATGAGAACTGCGACTTTCCTCCGTTCGCTTCCGGGCTTTTATACCGCGGCCAATCTTGCAGTCTGCGTGCGCGCTCCTAGGTGCGTCTCCTCGCGTGTACACGCGTGTACACGCGTGTACTCGCCCGTACTCGCCGACACGTACAGCTCGCGACACCTTGGCGAGACACTCGCGCCCCACTCGCGCCATTTCCGGCAGGACTCGAGCGATCCACCGGAAATGACCAATCACGGCTGCTGGGCCAGTCATTGAAGAAATCGCCTCGTCGATAACGCAATGATTATTTGCGTAGGAAATTATGAAATTATTTGCGCAAGAAATTATGATATTATTTGCGCAAGAAATTATGACACGGCTTTTATTTTTCATGACATTGTTGCGACGTTCCTTAAGGGGGTGCACGGGTAATTCTCAGTATTTAATTCTTTTCGTTAGAAGTAGATGCCATTAAACATGTATGTACTCTTATCGACGGTGCGCCACTAAATGTTGAATGAATATAATACATATTATTATTAACTTATTAACGAAGACGGTAGAAAATTCTATTCATACAATGCCTCGATCCGGAACTTCATAAATTTCTGTTTGAAAACGTTCATTGAATTCCATAATATGAGCAGGTGTATACACATTGTTAATATTTAACGGTATTCGTTTTTAACAAACATTCCAGTCGAAATACATCGTATATATCGATATACATCGTATCAAAGCTCCGCGTGATGCATTTTGTTCTCCAAAGACCCAACATAAATACAATATAATGCCTGTGAGGGATTTTGTATAATTTCTATATTCTTTACGAGAGTAGAATTAACATATTATGAGTAAAAAATATTTGGTCGGTTAGTATATTTATAATTTAATCGGCAAATGGCTCTAAGAAACACGTCGAATCTATAAGTTACCCTCTTAAATTGTCCTTTTCCTCGGGCAAAAGAGAATTATTTCCTTCGTGTTTAAATTAATTTATCGGGATGAACGGGTCTGTATAGTTAACGTCATTTCCCTCGGGTAAGAAAATGCATTCGAGGTAACGAACTTCGAATAACGCCGTTTATTCGGCATCGCGAAGATCCGGTCTGCAGGCCGGGCAGGAAATGACATTCGATCGTTCAGCGAACTTCGCCATGACTTTCGCGGTCGGTCGAGAAGTCGGTCTCTCAAAAGCATTCTCCGTTGCTTGACATTGTATTAAAATTAACATTATCTCGGGGCTTTGTTACGTCTCTTTTGAGATAGCGCCGGAGAAACGCCCCTCGCTCTGGCGAAAGTTCTCGGGTCTCTAGGTTTCTCCAGGCTTTTCCAGGCTTTTCCAGGCGAAGACTTCCAAAACGGTGGAAAAATCAGGGGAGGCAGAAATTGATGAAACAACGCTCTAATTATCGGGATTTAATTTAATTCGCTGTGAGAGAACGTCCTCGAGCCGTCACGTTCGACTCGCAATTTCCCCGCGGGAATATCTGACAATTGTTGTAATTGAAAATGGTGAAAGTCGGCCTCTTGGATAGACTGAATTTTTACTTAAAATCAAAATAAGTGAGGGGAAAAATGCCGAAGAGGAAGAGGTCGGAAAGTCGAGAAGTTCAGAAAATGAAGGATTACAGAGCAGAAGGGGTTATGAAAGGGAGCCATAACAAAAATGGGGGTAAAGTTGATCTTATGGACAGCCTGTTTTTTATACTTAAAATCGGAATAAATGTTGGGATGAAGAGAGAGCGAAAAATGATAAAGAGAAAGTTGTGGAGGGCGGGAAGTGTTTCGGAACGAGCAATAGGGAGATGAAAAGGGAGTCTTAATACGAAAATGGGAAAAATCGACCTCCAGGACAGCCCGTCTTTTTTTTAAATAAAAGTAAAATAAACGTTAGAACAGCCGCGCAGAGAGAAATTCCAAAAAGGAAGAGGTGGAGGGTGGAAAGTGGAGGAGGTCGGAAGGTGTTTCGGAACGAGGAGCAGGGTGGCAAAGGAGAGTCTAAATAAAAAATGGGAAAAATCGACCTTTGGGGCAGCCCGTTTTTTAAAATAAAGTAAAATAAACGTTAGAACGGCTGCGCAGAGAAAAATGCTAAAAAGTAAGAGGTGGAGGGTGGAAAGTCGAGGAGGTCGGAAGCTGTTTCGGAACGAGGAGCAGGGTGGCGAAAGGGAGCCGTAATAAAAATGACCGCAAGAATCGGCCACATTTACAAAAGAAGGACCTTGTAGGACGAGGTAGGGTGCATCGTGCAGTTCCTGGGAAGGTGGCGAGGCAAAAGCGGCTAGCCGGAGACGTGCTTGAATCTTAAAGCGACAACCCAGGGTCGAAGCACCCCGGTTACGAGCTGGCAAGAGCATACAGGTGCATGCAGGCGAGAGTGCACGTAGGGGGGCGGGACCAGGAGCGAGAAACAGGTGAAATTGTCGGCTCGTGGAAGAGAGAGAAAGAGAGGAGAGCGGTGCTCCGGCGAGATGGCACGTTGCATTCATAATGTCATTTGTAACGGCCGGAAGTAGAGTGCATTCTGCACTCGTCTGCGGGGCCTCGTCTTACTGCGCCCACCTGCTCCGCCCGGTCTGATTTATAAGGCCTTTATCTACTCCGCGGAGGGAATTCCCTCAAGACGGAGAGGGGGACCGATCCGGTGACAGGATTCCCTTCGCCAGTTTCGACCAGGTCCTTCAAGATTCGCTGATTCTCCCCTGAGATGAAGAGGACGGAAAAGTGTCAAGGAAGAAGACGTTCCTGTATGAATTATGAGGTCTTTATCTAATATAATCAACGCTAGGGACTCCCTACAGGTTTCGACCAGGATCGCTGTCTAGCTACATTTCCTCCGAAATGAAAAGTAGGAAAAAGCGTCAAGGGGATATGAGATATATCCATTTGTTCCGGGAAGTCTGATTCATGAGTTTATATCCGTCTTGTGATCGACTTCGGAGATCCCCTCGCGAGTTTCAACCAGGATCTTCAAGATTCACTAATTCTCCTCCGAAATGAAGAGTGCGGAAAAGTCTCATGGAGAAAGATGCGCCCATCCGTTCCACGAGGTCTGATTTAAAAGGTCTCCATCTACTCTAGCTAGAGAATATCCCGAATGCCAGAGTGAAAAGTTTCCGATCGACCAGTCGCGTTCCCTTCGAAAATGTTCGTCGAAGATCTCCAAAACTCGCTGAGTGTAGAAAAAAAAGTGTCAAACAAAAATGTATCCATCCGCCTCTTTTAGTCCGTTCATAAAGTCTTGATCCACTTCGCGCATGGAAATCCCTGAGAAAAGAACCGAAAAAGAATCGCTCGATTCTCTCGCAATTTCCAGGCAAGACCTCGAAGACTCGCTAATTCTCTTCCAAGAGGTACTAAAAATCGACAAGGCGGATCAAGATGTGCCCACAAAGAAGTGTCAAGGCGAAACGAGATCCCGAGGGGTCTAGCTCGAGTTCGCTTCCGATCGGGATCGATTCGATCGCGGATCACGAAGTGACACCCACATTTTCAGGCACCGATTCCCTCCGAGACCGCTTTCACGAGGAAGACTCGACCGGAAATGAAAGGACCAGGACTCCTTCGTCCGCGTGTCGACTCCTGAGAGAAAAGGGAGAAGACGAATCCAGGAAGTGCGGATCGGTTCGCCCGTGCGAGACGCCGCGGTTTCGCGGCAAAGCTGATCGGCCATGGCCTCGGTCAATGGATCGATTGCCGATACTCGATCCCTCGAGAACCGACGCCTCGGTTTCAGGCGATTTGCCTGATTTCCAGTCGCCGAGACGAATCCGGCCCTTCCAGAAGAGCGAGACGGCCTGCATACATTGCACCGTCCGCTGCACCTCGCACCGTATGTCGTGTACGTAGATATGTACTTCCTGCACATTATGTACAGCGGAGTCTCCATCCAGTCGGTCCGTCTGGCAGAAGTTCGATGCGAGGAGAGAAGCCGGAAGTTGGGAGGAAAATGTTTTCGCGACATGCGCGACAAGTACATATGTGCACTTTGCACATGCACCCGTAAGTACGCGCATCGGCCGGCGCTCCAGAGGGGCGCCACCGGGGATGCCCAAACCGGGGCCGAGGTTCGAGTGCAAATTGCAGTGTGCACTCGAACTGGGTCATGCCGTATAATCCAATGTAGGCCGTCACTTTACGGTTAGGGAATCCTCGAGGAAGCTGGTTTCCCCGCCGGGAATGGCCATTTAATCGCGCTCGTTACTCGCCTCGTTAAAATTAGTGGCCGTGTTATTATTTTCCCTTGCTCTCCTTATTTCCGCCCCCCTCCCCACCCCCTCGTTATTTCCCCCGTCTATAAGTCCGAATTCCTTCGGAAATAATTCCTGAACTTTGTTAACCCCGCGATTCATATATTTCTTGTACATATCCGCAGAATTTGGGCGCCATTATCTGCGATGTTTATTATTCATGTGAAACATTAATGTTATACATATTTCAGGAATGCATGGTCGTTTTTCTTGATTTACAACCGACCGCTATTTATATTCGTATTTGGATTTACGACACAATTCCCCCAAATGTTTTCGCTAACGTCAGTGGTTCATTCTTTCGGCTAGTAATTTGTATTTGTTGTCGAATTAGAGATCATGGAAATGATTAATAAAAACCGCCATGCCTGAAACGATCAGTAAAGACTGTGGGTTTCTTTTTCTTCTCTAATAGATTCTCTAGTTTGCATGCCATTTCACATTACACTCGTAACGAGTACGTCACTCGACATGTGGCACTCCGTCGCCGAGGTAGAACATTTCTTTTGACGTACGACGAGTCGCCGGAGAAAGTGCGCACCTTCTCTCCTGTCTTTTTCTTAATAACGCAACAATGTCGGGACTCGTGCGTTAATAATGTTCCCCACGTAACGTCCGCTTTTGCGTTACACGCCGCGGCAATTGATGCGCAACGTCGATCGGTTTCCCTTTCCAGGTGCAAAAAGGCCGGCGACGTAACGACACCCGGCGCTCGATGTTTAAATTAATTAAGGAAGTGTTA